ATAGTATTGTAAAGTTTAGAGTATGGTTTATTGTAACACTCTTATCTTGATATAATGTTTGTTTAAAAGGTTATGTAAACAAATTAGTAAGTGATGCACTTATAAGGAATTATCAGAATTTTCGTGCTATTATTTTGGATAAAAGTAATTTATGGCTGTCATATTATTGGTCCATTATCCGTCCGCCACTCGTGTTGTCATGATTGATGGTACGTAATACAGTTACACTCAGATATGAACAAGATTTTTAGGAGTGTTTCTCAAGATGTTCGTCGGCTAGGAGCAAAAATCAGTTAAGGCAATATTGTAATGCGAGTAGACAAAATGAATACAGAAAAATCCAGGTCAGAGATGTTGTTAATGAATTTGATATAAGAATTAACTTTACGTGAAATGTTATCCAAGGATGTTAACAAAACAAGGAAGATATCTACATCTACAGCAGAATAGCGTAGAAGAATACTGTTGAAGAGGACATATTCATTGATTGGATGGTCACAGTTGATGAATTGTGATTACATTAATTTAAGCCTGAAACCTAAGTGTGGGAAAGAACCTTCTGACCCCTACTGGTTTTGAGTGATAGCGGAAACAAATCTTGTTTTTCATACTGGTATGTTGTCTAGTCTTCATGAAATGTGACTGTCAAGAATTTGCTTATAAATACTTTGGCACATCTTTTTTTTTTTCAGTTGACTTAATATGTAGCTAATGTAAGCTGAATGTATTTTATTCATCTATTAAGTTGGGTCAATTTTCATGTAACAGTTTGTGGAGTTTTCTACTACCTGCAATTTAGATAATTCCTCTGACAGGCAGTTTAAAGATATTTTATATTTAACATATTATTCCTGTTCTAGTTTTTTTAAAGGCATTTTTTGTGTAGAATATCAATACACAAGGATATAACTTAAAATGGTGCAAGTAAAATAACTACTTTCAGATTTCAAAAGATTTTTACTTAATGAGTTGATAAGTAGCCCCTCTTGTGTATTTATTTAGGTCTGAAATATAACTTAAATATTGACTGTGTCATGTGAGCATTTTAAAAATGTCTGTGTAGTTACTTTCAGAAGTAGGTTTTATTAGTATACACATATATAGTTAAGAATGAGTTACTTTCAGAAGTAGGTTTTATTAGTATACACATGTATATAGTTAAGAATGAGTTACTAAAATCAAGCTGATAAAAATTAGAATTATAAGTTTAATTGGAAGTTCTTGAGTCAAGTGTCATGTTTTTCTGATACTTAAACCTTTAAGTCATTCACATTGTGCTACTTTTACTGCATTTATCTAACT